ACATGTGAAATTTAAAATCTGCTGTTGTCTTCTATTTAGTAGTCTTACCACAAGTCACTAGGGTGTTCTTAGAGCTCTGAGAAGAAGAACAAGGTTCTCAATCTTGCCTTCAGGGTTACTGCTCTGAACAGAGATCTGTCAGTGTGGCCATTAACTGATGGCCTGGAGCAACTCTGAAGCATATAAGTAACGGTAGCAGTACCGCAATCCCTCTACAATAACTTTGCACCCCCCCCAGGACACCTTTTTTTGGAGAAGACCCCTACAATTACAATACCATGACATTTCAGATTTAAATACCTGAAATCATGAAATTTACTATTTTTAAAATCCTATGCACGTGAAATTGACCAAAACGGATTGTGAATTTGGTAGGGCCCTATTTATAACTTCCTCTGCTTTAAACAATTCCATTGGAGAAATGGACTAAGTAATCTTTATGCCAATCTTTCTTTAGTGTGGTCTTACTACTGATTTGTAAGACTGGCATATGAAAAAACATTTTAAAAAAAAGGGTTTTGCACTGCATGACACTGCACTATTGGCGTGATAACAGGCTAAAATTGTTGCAGCCTTCATTGAGAGACGGAAGATTGAAGTAGCAGAGTATTTCAAGAATAACTTCACTTATCTGCATTTTTGTTTACTTCACATTCAGCAGGACTCTTGGGAACTCATAAAAATAAATTATTTATGAAATTCAATTTCTGCCCATTGAGTTTCAAGTCAGAAGGAACTCTCTCCAAAAGTGTTCTATGCATCCTGACCTTTTACTGGTACATCAATTGTTATTTGTTAGATTTGTATTTTGTGAACTCAATAGCCCATGTTTTCTTATTGATATATTTCTTATTGAAATTAGAGTGCTGTTTACTATAGCCCTCTTTCTGGGATCCTTGTAGTATTTGATACATTTCAATTAAACAGGTCTATCATTAACTCTTTCAGTGCTGTGGCATTATCAGTAAACAAAGACAGAATTTAAAAAATCAAGTTAATCACTAATAAATACTGCATTTAAAACTTGCTACTGCTCTCTTGGGTCGCCATCTTCTTGGGGAATGTTTAAAGAGATTGTGACTGTAGCAGAAACTAACCTGTTTGAAAACTCTAGTTACAAATTCACACTATATTCAATACCTCCACAGGGCTGCATATGCTTTGACAAGTAGCTCATTTACATCCATAAGCAACCATGTGATTTTAAAAGATTATTAGGACTGAGGGTTTAAGGATTCAGTTTGCAAAGAAGAGGGAAAGAAAGTCCAAAATATAATCAACAACTATTTAGCTTTCATTTTTTGTATAGTCTATAGTAGAGTGCTTTTAGATCTACAGATAAAAAGGGCTATACGTATAAAGTAATATTTATACTGCATATTATATTATTCTCATTTTTTATTCTTAGTCTTTTTGCCTAAGATTGTGTATATGCCTAAAGTTACTGTATAGGAATGCTTTTATAAACATAAAAGATACAAACAAAATAAGTTTAAAAAGGAAACCATTTTAACTACTTATTTTCTTTTAATCTTTTATTTTTATAAAAACATTTCTATCCAATAACTTTAGGCATTACACAATAGCAAGAGACAGACTAAACCTTTCATACTGACTACCTCCTAATCAACACACTCATTCCCTACTTCCTAAAACAAAGCTAAATAGCTTTGTATCTTTCCAGAAAAATCAATCTCTGTCTACCGCTCAGTGTTGTTATAGTCTGAGACACACAAGGTGAAAGAGGTAATATCTTTTAATGGACCAACTTTGCTGGTGGAAGGGCAGAGCTTTCAAGCTACACAGTGCTCTTCTTCAGATCTGTCCTCATCAGATTATGATTCTTCTTTTACAAGAGTGGTTTTTGGGTTTTTTTTGTTTTTAAAGAGGGAGGAAAGTAGAAAGATATTGTATCTAAAAAGTTTCAAGAGAAAAACAAAAAAAGTAGGAGCAAAATCTATCCCTGTATTTTAAGTTTTCATTAGACGTGATCAGCAAAATAAATTTTCATATAGACTATTCTAGAATAATTTCATGGACAGATACTAGCACTTAAATAGTTAAAATGGGAGATACTGTTAAAGTAGGTAACAGGTGTAAGAGTGTAGACAAGTCTACACTACAAACTTAAATTGACCAGGTTAGGTCGACTTACAGCCATTGCTGTAATTAGTCTCTGAACCTGACAAGAATGACAGCCAACAGCCAATGTAAGCTGGTGTAAGTAACCCCCAGTGTCTACATGGACACTGTGTTGCCTTAACTACACCGACATAAACCCTTCTCGTGGAAATGGAATTATGATGTCAGTGTATTAAGGCACTTACATCAGCAAAAGCAAGGCTGTAGTGTAGACACTGACATAATTAGGTCGACGTAAGTTGCCTACATGGACCTAACACTATAGTGTAGACCAAGTCAATGTCTCAGCAGGGTTACAGTTTTACTACTATTTGGGCTTATTTGTACCACAAATCACAAAAAATACTAGTCTTGCTAAATTTTTATTACTTCTCACAGCTATAAGTAGATCAGCTCCAATTCCTTTGGCAGCTAATATATTCCCAAAGGTTCCTGACACATTAACCTATTCACTCAGAAAGAACAGGATAATTATATATACGGGAATAAAAGGTTAAAATAATCCAATAGATGTCAGTTCATTATCTGACTCTCAAGCCTGTATTCCCATGTTCAATCTTGTTCAGAAGAACAAAAATTCCTAAATTATTCCAGCTAAGTTGAAAGGCATCAATATCCTCAAGAGAAATTCACCAGAAGCTTTAATTGCCTGAGTAGACTCTAAAGCTAACCTTTCCCAGTGAAACAGTTCAACTCATGCCAACACCGTAACAAGAGGCCAAAATAAATGCTTTTGAGGCAACATAAAAGTGTTGTCTTCAATAAGAGGGCACCTAGGGGTAGTGCACTGTACCACCAGAAGGGAGATCGGGGTTATATTTCCTGTTAACTGATCTCTGGCCCAGTAGAGGGTGGAAGCACCATGAAAGCAACATGCTCACCTCCTGGGAGTGGAGGGGTGTGGCTCACAATGCTCAATCATTTTTCACATCTGATTATAATGAGGCATTGACAGGCTACGCAGAGTTCCATCTAGTTCTCCTCAGGAAGGATGGCTGCGAAGTAGGACTGAGGGAAAATCCTTGCGCTTCTTGCACAGGAACAAAGGAGTCCTCCACCCATCCCCCAAGAAAAGAAATAAACAAGTACTCAATAAGATCAAAGATACAGCTATCTTCTGATTAACACATACAATAGTATCTTGTAAGTCAGCGGAAGCAAACATATATCTTGTTTTACAAATTGATTCATAAAACAACTAAGTTACCTGAAAAACAAATTTGAATATCTGATTCTAGACCTACCAGATCAAAAATAGTCACTCCCAGATGCTCACATTAGATGTCTCATGAAATATGATAGGAAATGTCTGAAAAGGAAGGCTACTCTAATTCAATAGCCACTTTCCAGTCATCCAGACGAAACAAACATTTAGATTATACCGATTGGAAGCGCTGGAGGTAAGTGTAATAAGGTGTTTGGGTTTTTTTTGGCATGTATGGCAAAATTTCAGCTAGCTCCTAGTTTACTTAATTCTATCTAAGATTATTTTATGTTGATGTCATTGTTCTCTCCCCTCCTCTCCAGAATTTCAGGTGCAAGTGAGGTAAAAGTAATCCAAGTGGAGTGCTAACAGTGCAAGGAAATATCTAGGAAGGTACATATTTGGTGGGAGTAGAGAAAGAAGAATCACCTAGTCTGGGCATTTCTAAGTTTGTATAGGAACCGCACGCGCACAAAGGCACAAGCCCCACACACAGCAGCTCTTCCCCTCCATTTTAAAAGTTTCATAACTAGCTACCAAGTTTATTTTATTTATGAGAAGAGTAGCATAGTGGAGTCTGAGCAGAAAACTGAAGGTCAAATCACAAATCTGGAAATAACTCTCTGTGGCTTTGGGCAAGTCATTTAAACTCTGTCTCAGTTTTCTCATCTATAAGATTCAGATAACACAGCACCTGTTTAGCTCACAGTACTGTTGTCAGGATTATATGTAATATATTTCAGAAATGCAGAGAAATGCAGGGTTCTTTCTCCCCAGTAGGGCTGCTAGCCAAGAGGCCATTTGCAGATGTCTGGGAACCTGGCGGGGTTGGGGGGGAGGCAGCCAAGCAAATGGCTGGCGTCTCCTTGTGGCGGATGTTCAGTGCAGGTACTCCATAGGGAGGGCAGCCAGTGACCAGATAAATGGCCTGGTAAAGGACTTAAAAGGAGGTCCTGGATAAAGGAACAGAATGGGGGAGAGGGTTCGGGAACTCCAATGATCAGTACAGCAGGGAGCCAACCCCCTCTGTTCTCATAGCCTTCCTTAACCCTCTTACGAGGCTGGTGGATGGTAAGGTCCAAGCCATGGGTCAGCTGGGGGACCTGGATGGAAACAAAAGGGGGCTGGTGAAAGCCCCGGAAAACTGAATTGAATAAGCATGGATTAAACAAAGGGGGTCTGGTGAAAGCCCCGGAGAATTGATTTAAATAAGCATGGATTTGCCTGCACTGTACACTTTATCTGTCGGGTAGTCCCAGACATCTATATAATAAAGTTGTGGCCTGATTAAACCCATAACAAGTCTCCTGTCCTTCTTGCGGTATACCTAGACAATTAGAATTTGTATGTTTCCTTCTGCACCTCGTGCTTTTCACGAAGTACCAAGCAACAGAGGAGAGTGCAGAATCCTATTCAAGGGATCACTTGGGTTACTTAGGATCCTACTCAGGTTTCCCTTTGCAACTGGCTCCATGTGTAAAGCACAACATTAGGGGAAACAGTAGATATAAAAACTAAATTTCCCCACATAACAATCTGTGCTATTTTCTCAAATTTTATAGTGTTCTGCCAGTAACCAAGTGTCTCAATGCAAAATACAAAAATACTAATCTCCAAGTAATAAGCCAGGCTCACTTTACTCTGAAGCACCTACCTGAATTGCTGAGTTCATGAAACACGTATTTCCCAAGTTACTTAGGCCACAGAGGCCAGGCTGCTCATTGTGTCTTCCTGGCTCTGAATAATCATAGTTCTTATATGCAGTGTATGATGGGAGGCAATAGTTTGAATTTTTCACACTGTAAGAAAACAAAACATTTTTCACAATGTAGCCACATGACCTATAATGCTTTAATACACCCAGAATTTTTGGTAATTATCAAATAAGTTATCTAAAATTAAAAGTAACTATTGTTAACTAGTTATCTAGATATCTTCTTAGAAGCATTTAACTTTGCAACTTATCAATCTTAAATCTCAGTCAAAAAGAAAAGGAAGATCTCTTTCCCTGCAAGCAACCAAACATTTTCATGCACCGAAACAACCAAAACAGACTACTATTGTATCTCTCTACCCTTGATTTACAGGAGCAGCTTCACAGCTCACTCCATTCTTCATTGCTCCATCAAATTTAAAACACTCAGACTTTAGGCACCACCAGCAGCAATAAATCATCTCATGTATATCCTTTCTGCATTCTGCTACTGTAAGAGAGTGAGGACAGTAGAAACTGGAATGAAGAGTTGTGCTTTGGTTACAGGTGAGAGCTGAGATTTCCAAGGCCACCGTGACATCACTGGCTTGATGCATTAGAAATTCTATTTATAGTTTCACTGCTAGGACAGCACAATCCAGCATTCAAATGCGGGAAAAAGCCTGGAGTAATAAGGAAAACACAAAATGCCTTCTAGCAAGTACATTCCAACTTCATAAAGCTCTATCATGTACCTATCTAGTGAGACTATATTAAAACTAAAATGTTAGCTAAGTTAAGGGTAATTTATTACCATATGACAGAATACAAATACTAAATATAACCCCCCCCCCAATAAAATAAGCATATTTTAAAAAACTAGAAGGGTAAAAGAGCCCAGTAAAACAGCAAGTTTTATCTTACATATAGAATTTTTTTTTAAAAAAATCACGTAAAAGATTAAAATTCCTTAAGCTGTTTTTAGTTACTAATCATATGAAATATTTATGATAGCAACTTTGGATACGATTCAAGAGCATTTCTACAAACCTCAAATATTTCACATTAGAATAAACCTGAACAAGATTTTGAAGGTCATTTGCTAAGAAAAAACATGACAAGGAAAGAACATGCAGTGCAACAAATTAATCCTCAATCTTAAAAATACAAGTGGGTGACGGTGGTTTATGATGTACCCTGGACACTTTTCAATTTAAAGAATATCCCTTAAAACTTGTATTCAGTATACGCAATTTAAATGATTACAAGATGAACTCCCACTTTCAGTCCTCCTCCGTACATGTATCTATTTTAATTCAGCAGTTTTGCTGAGTTAATCTGAAAGTATTTCACTACTGATGAAGAAAACCAATTTTAAAACAGCCTGCTCTCTTGAACATTACAAAGAGAAAAAAATTAGAGAACCTCTCCTTCCTCAAAGACACACATGCAAGAATCAAGTATACCTCATATTTCAAAAAAAAGCTCTTCAGTCCCTTAGAGATAGACATTAAGGGAAAGCACCTTGCATCAATCTGAGGCATAATACATACACAGGGGTCATAATATTAACAGTATAAGTAGCATTAAAATAGCCAGAAATCTTCTAGGTGTAAATATCAGTCTTTGCACAGACTAAAACATATGCAATATTTTCTCTGGATTACATTATTTTGTAACTAATTTTTTATATTAAGATACAATTAATCAGATGAAGATAAATTGATACTGATTTTTTGTTTTAACATGAGAGTCACACAGAGGTGATAACATAGCCTTTTGTATTTTGTGGTACACACTACTGAAAATTTTATGGTAAATATAATATTCCTGTGGCAGTGTAAAATAAAATGGAAGTATTCCAAAAGATGAAATACACACAAATTCAGGTAAGCTGTCAATGCTGAGCTGTTGTGATGCATCTGTCCTAATTTATTTCTCCAAAGGGGAATCTATTTCTGGTCTCAATTCTGGCCCACAAAAGAGAGATATGTTCTAGTGGTTTGGAGACCTCTTCCCCCCCCCGCAGGTCAATTCTGCTCAGTGATCCCCATTTCCCCATGACGGGAGCGCTCCTGCGATTGGTGCAATGCCTGTGCTGCCTGATTTAATAAACAGTCTGGCAACAAGTGTGGTAAAGTCTTTTACAACCATTATTGCAGTCAATAACCTGCAGAAGACACTGGGAACCTGGTGAGAGTAAATCCCTTTACTTCTTGAGCTGAATGCTGTGTACACTTGGGAACCATGAAGTTTCTTGTGATGTGTACTTTGCCATATGAAGTTTCAACAGAATATAAGAATATAACTTCCATATTGAACTGGGTTTCCAGGAGAGGTTAGCTGAGACTCTGTGGGCTCACTAGCAGAGGGTTAACAATGGAGTGCCATCAAAAGGCACTAACCTGGTCTTCCACTCAAATGGAAGTACCATAGAATAATGCAAGGGCTGCAGCCCAGGTGAACCAGTTTTCCCAGTCTGGACTTCAGATGGGCTGTAACTAAGCAACAAATCACCTCAGGATGGACATGAAGTTGCTGAGGGAATAACCTCAGAGAGGAATCTGGATCTTCATAAAAGGACAAAGTTCCGCACTTAGAAGGCGCTCTCTCACTGACCGGAACAAAAAGGCAAGACTGGGCAGTAGAGATGAAGGAGAGGAGTATTCTGGGGCCCTGAAAGGACTGACCAACATTCATAGAGAGCTCTCAAAAAGGTAAGGACACTGCAGACAGGGTTTTGTTATTTTTATTATTTTTTCATAGATCTCTGTATTTCTTGTGCTGTGTCTATGAGTAAAGTGTGACTGATTTACAAATTCCTTTTCAAAGTCTGTGTCCCCCTTATTTTAACTGTCACAGTTTCCAGTGGATGAAATAGTAATCTAGAGCACCCACAGCTTTAATGGAACACTGAGGAACATGCAATTGCTACTGGGGAGGATCAGCACTAGTTTTGGGGCCTAGGCAGTTACATTGAAGAGTCCCATAGGTGTGTCTGTCTGTGTGTCTGTCTGTGTCTGTGTGTAGAAGCTCTGAGCTTGAAACAGTGACTGGACTCCGGGATTGAACCGTTGGTCCTATTACAGCAACATGATATGCATCCACAAAAGGGAGCTCAGCCAGGATTGTAAGGACATCTCTCCTTTTTCAGGTTTTAGTATCAAAATAGTAAAAGACTGGAGTATACTCTAATTAAGCCTAGAGCAGGATTAACAGCAAAATCAGCTCCACATTTCCATTTAGCCTTGCAACAATCATCTTCCCAATCCCATTCTTATGTATCTCAAATTTAACCTGAACAAGTTTCTATGGGTAAAACACTTCAGTTTCTACACCCATTGTCTCTTTGATACGTCTGCTGGGATTCTGAACAAAAGTGCCAGCACCCTGTAGACGCCTGACAAGTAAGGAAGTAGGAAGTGATCGTCGTCGACGATCCCTCGAAGTCAAGGATGATCTCTTTTAAAGGTTTTATTTTTCATGGGTCCTTTGGTGACTGAAGAGTCCGATTGTTGAGCCACAGGCTCATTGGCAGACATTGCAGGTGGTGCTGGAAGACAGGGTTGGGCCGAAATTGCTCCTTGACTGTTGTCTTTCCTTTCTTTTCTGGCGTTTTTCTGCGACCAGGGCAAGGCGATTTTCCTCAAAAGCGGATGTTCCCTTTCTGACAAGTCTTTGCCAGTTATCCCTATCCTGAACTGCTGTCTTCCAGTGTGCAGTGTCGATGCCACTTCTCTTTATGTTTATCTTGAGAGTATCTTTAAAGCGTTTCTTTTGGCCTCCTCGTTTCCTTTCTCTTTTGGCGAGCTGGGCATACAGCAGTTGTTTTGGTAAGCATATATCAAGCATGCGCACACAGTGCCCGCTCCACCTCAGCTGGTGCTGGATAATCAGGGCCTCAACACTGAAGATGTTGGCCTCTATGAGGACACTGACATTAGTGCGACGATCCTCCCACTTTATGTTGAGGATCTTCTGTAGAAAGCGCTGGTGCTGACAGTCCAGGTTTTTCAGGAGGTCACCCAAGTCTCACAGCCTTGGAGAGTTGGGATTACCACCGCTTTGTAAACTAACAGTTTACTATGTGTTCCGATGTTGTGATTGTTGAACACCCGTTGAGACAGTCTTCCAAAGGTAAAGCTGGCACGGCAAATTCTGTGCTGAAACTCGACATCTATGTCTGCCCTCTGTGAGAGACGGCTGACAAGATAGGCAAAGTATTCTACATTTTCCAGTTCTTCTTTGTTGATACAGATCTTCCATGCTGGGTCTGATGACTGGCCGGGGACTGTCTGGTGGAGAAGTTTTGTTTTGCCGATGCTCAGAGTTAGCCTTAGGCTTAGCCTTAAGCTTCAGAGAAGCAATTAAAGTCTGTTTGAAGATCCTCCTTTGAGTGTGCAACTACAGCACAATCATTTTACCGCAATCTCACCTTACCACCCTGGGTGACCCTATCAGGAGTACAGGACTCCAGACAGCATCGCTCTTAGGATCTTAAGTATACGCAAGCTTCTCTACCACATCAAGGTGGCAGCCCAAGGAAAAGAGGAAGTGATAGGAGACAATTTTAAAGAAAGATAAAAAGTCTGTCTTTTCACTGAGCATCTATTGTTACAATATCCAAACACAGCAATCCTTTTCACACAATGATCTCAGACTTCTAACACCAAGGCACAACAGTAGGTAGACAGACTATCAACGTTAATTCAAGGACTATAAATCAGTCTCACCTGACCATTATGTCTTCATATTGCAGTGGTCTCAAACCTGTGTGTGATGTTGTCCACTCTAATACAATCCACAGGGATTGGGGGAATAGTGGGGGTGGAGGAGGGAAGGACTGCCTCCCTTCACTTTAAATTTCCTTTAATTTATTAGTTTCTCTCAAATACAGCAGTACATTTTTTAAAATGTATTTAACATGATAAACTCTAAAGGAAGTCTTAAGATGCTTTCTTACAGCGCTCAATGTTCTTTTTAGTCTCTTATCTGTTGAACAGTGTGTGTGTTTATATATGTGTATATGTATACATGTACATATACACACACACACACACACACACCCCCAAGCATCTTTAACAGAGTTTCACTTCTTGATATCATGTTTATACAGCACCCGCACTAAGAAGTACTGACCAATAATAAAAGAATTACAACCAGAGCACTGTCAAAACAAAACTAATTCCCTAACTTAAAAAGTAAAAAAACAAGGTCATTTTCCAAATCATATTTGGGAGATTTCAATTAAATAAAAAAATTCTTAAGATATGTTGCTTACTTTCTGTTGTTGATGTTGTTATAATTATTTGATAGAGATGGAGAGATCTTTGGTAAAGTTGAAAAATTGGATGCACCTGGGGACCTTTAAAAATATGAAAATGTTAAATTAGATAAAAATGCTGAGATATTAAAATTAATCATGAAAAAGAAAAAGCTAACAGATGAACAATGTATGTAAATAAGTATGAAAAAATAAAGTTCTTATGAGCAGAGCACTAATTATTCAGGATAATGGTTTCCAGATTCAAAATGCATCTTTTTAAAATTAAAATAGATTATTTCATCACACTTCATGTCAAACTTTCATATCGCACCGGATATCACAAAAATTACTAAAATAAGCCAAAAATGGCCTACAGAAAAAGAATGCCAAAAAGTTAATCAGCCTATATGAAGGCAACAAAATAAAGCAGATGCATTTTTCTTCTAAAAATTGGAACATAAAACTTTGTATAGGCTTTATTAATTTCTAAATTTTAAAATGGCTTTTGAGATGAGATATGAAAGTGTCATTTGTAACTAAAATAAGAATACGTCTTAAAAAGATAAGTATTCCCAAATTAGTGTAAATTCAGCCATTTAAAAGCAACATTATACCACTTGTTAAGAGGTTCTCTTTTAACTGACTGATGGACATTAATAGAAATTGTTGGAGATGCAAAACATTAGAAAATATTTCGTTTACTCAACGCCAAGTCAAATCAGAGCATTATATTTTTTGCACTTTATCTAAGCTATACATCCTTTTAAAAACTATAAAGTTGGAGTTGTTGAATGTTTTCAATAAAGGAGACCCCATGAGTTGTAACAATTACATGTAATTATTATACAGCATATTCTTGCTGTTTTTCCTTGATTAAGCATATGGGCCCAACACAAAAACCACTGAAAACTATGGAAAAACCCTAATTGACTTAATTGGGCTTTGCCTCAAGCCTGGCTCCCAGGTGACCTAAGACTGTTTAGTACCATGGCATGCAAAAGTTAGGCAGAAGTAGTAACAAATATTACGTGTTCAGATGTTCTGTGCTTTCAAAAACAAAATGGTTCACAGCAGATATAGATTATGTTTCGAGAACTCTCCATGTGAGATTTGACACTTTCTTAAAAATATTTAATAAACAACTAGATTCTAATGCTTCCAAGCAATAAAAGCATAAGATATGGCCATTGGGAAAAGAAAATTACTCTGATTGTGAAAATCCCTTTGGCCTTCTGATATTATTATATACTCTTCTCAGGTTATAATTTAAATCACCCTCTCTTCTTTGGACCATAAGAACAGCCATGCTGGGTCAGACCAATGGTCCATCCAGCCCAGTATCGTCTGACAGAAGCCAGTGACAGATGCTTCAGAACAAATGAACAGAACAGGTCAATTCTGAGTTGTCCAGTACCAGATTCCTGTAGTCAGACGTTAAGGGACACCTGGAGCCTGGGGTTATGTCCCTGACCATATTGGCTTATAGTCATTGATAGATAAGTTCATGGAGGATAGGTCCAATTATTTTTTGAACCCACTTAGACTTTTGGCCTTCACAACATCACACAATACACAGTCAACCTGTGGAACTTGTTGCCACGGGAAGTTCTTCCTTATGTTTGTTTTAAAACTGCTATTAATTCCATTGGGCAACCCCTGGTCATGTGTTATGTGAAGGGATAAATAACACTTCCTTATTCACTTTCTCCATACCATTCATGATTTGACAGACCTCTCTCATATCTCCCCTTAGTCATCTTTTTTCTAATCTGAACAGTCTCAGTCTTTTTAATCTCTCCTCATATGGAAACTGTACCTTATCCCTAATCATTTTCATTGCCCTTCTCTGTACCTTTTCCAATTCTAATATATCTTTTTTGAGATAAGGTGACCAGAACTGCATGTAGTATTCAAGGTGGGGGCATACCATGCATTTATACAGCAGCATTATGATATTTTTGGTTTTATTATCTATCCCTTTCCTAATAGTTCCTAAGATTGTTAGCTTTTTTGACTGCTGCAGCACATTGAGCAGATATTTTCAGAGAACTATCCATGATAACACAAGATCTGTTTCTGAGTGATAATAGCTAATTTAGACCCTATCATTTTGTATATATAGTTGGGATTGTTTTCCAATGTGCATTATTTTGCACTTAACATTGAATTTCAACTGTCATTTTGTTACCAGTCTCCCAGTGTAGTGAGATCCCTTTGTAATTATTAACAGCTGCTTTGGATTTAACTATCTTGAGTATTTTTGTATTCTCTGCACATTTTGCCACTTCACCCCTTTTCCAGATAATTTATGAATATGTTAAACAGCACAGGTTTCAGTACAGATCTTTGGGTGACCCCACTATTTACCTCTCTTCATTGCATCACAAACAATAAATAAATAAACAGACTACATGCAGAGGAAAGTTATAAAATTTTATAAAGTCAACTTCTCATTGACTATTTAAGATCAAGTTAAATCAAAAGTGAAACTGTTTACACTCCAGTTTCTCGAGATCAAGTATTTTAAAGGGAACTTAAAGACAAAGTGAGCTGGAACAATTGATTGTTTATTTTCAATTAAATTTTCAAACAAAAATTTGTAATGTGTATGGCATTTGACCACATAAATACTATTTTGTTTTTAATAAAGAGAAGTAATCTGTTACAGCTAATATCTTCCAAATAGTCAAAGTAATCCCACTCAGTTTTACTATTAACGGGCTTTCCCCCTCCCCCCAAAGATAAATAGAATAAGTAAATTTTGATTCTAAATAAGGTAGCAATCAGAAAGTTTTTATATTTAGATGGAAAATGTTGTCCATATTCTAAATATCTATATAAAAACAAGCATTTGCTATGAAATAATGTGACAGCTGTGATAGACCCAGACCAGTTGGGAACAGCAGAGTAGCAGAAGGGAGATATACTGGCCACTGGATAAGTAGTTTTCTGTTCCCTGAGTGACCAGAGCAGGGGCTGCTCCAGGCTAATAGACCACCTGACTCCAGTTAACCTGCTAAGAGTCAGGTGAGGCAGTTAAGCACCTGACTCTAATTAAGGCCCCTCTGATGCTATAAAAGGGCTCACTCCAGTCAAGCCAGGGGGAGCCAGAGGGGAGGAAGTGTGTGAGAGGAACTGGGAGCAAGAGGTGTGCAAGAAGCTGAGAGTGAGTAGGCGTACTGCTGGAGGACTGAGAAGTACAAGCGTTATCAGACATCAGGAGGAAGGTCCGGTGGTGAGGACAAAGAAGGTGTTGGGAGGAGGCCATGGGGAAGTAGCCCAGGGAGTTGTAGGTGTCATGCAACTGTACCAGGAGGCACCATAGACAGCTGCAGTCCCCAGGGCCCTGGGCTGGAACCCGGAGTAGAGGGCAGGCCCGGGTTCCCCCCATACCTCCCAACTCCTGATCAAACACAGGAGGAATTGACCTGGACTATAGCTTCTACCAGAGGGGAAGGTCTCTGGACTGTTTCCTGACCCACAGGGTGAATCTGTGAAGCGAGCAAATCCGCCAATAAGCACAGGACCCACCAAGGTAGAGGAGGAGCTTTGTCACACGGCTTAATATGACACCTTAGTAAGTCGGTCTTACTGCTCTGCGGCAGGCAGCTAGCTGAAACATTCTTAGAGCTGTTTACATTCTTGCTGACACTGATAAGCTTGAGTACTAAGAAAAACAGAAGGCCATCATGGCACTTACAGCATTCAATACATAGCAAACTACTTTTTCACAAACACTGTAAAACAATAAGTGGAGAATGATTTCATTTTCACTTTTCAAAAAGGATATCAAACTAACAATAGAAAGTACAAAAAGATCAATCAAGACAGCAGACAAGAGTGTTCACAGGTCATTCTTATTTTTAATTTTCACTTTTTTAAATGAAAGGTCCTGTAGAAATGGCAAAACAGGTCTACTAACAAATATAGTAAGATGTCAAACATTTGCTGTGACAAAATATGTTAAGGATGACAGTGGTAAAAAAATTCAACTTCCCCATTTTAACTATAATAATATAGATTACAAGACTAAAGGCATTTTCTACATAGTGCAGTAATTTGAAAATATGGCACACAAGAAATTTTGACTGCATTGTTTTAAAGCATATGTTTGTAAATGTTTGACTAAAGAATATGCACTCAGACCCTGTAGCGATAAGTAGAGGGTTGAGAAAAAAAAGAAGGAAGTTGCTTTGGTTTTAAATCAGGGCATCTTTTAATGTGCTATAGTAACATCCACATTTTCTGTAAAACAGTATTATAGCAACTCCCTTAAAAGATACCTGACAATAGTCAAGGTCGTTTTATTTATTTATTTAAGTCAATGCAGCAATTCTTCGATACAAGAACAGAAAACCAATTATTAAACTTTATTCGTACTCAACTGAATTCTGACACTTTAGCTGTTACAGAATGAAATATTTACTATGGGTATATTCAAGAATATACTGAGCAATGTGAAATGGGTGGCATTATAATCTTTATTTTACAAAATAAAAGAGAATGCTATTCATTTCAACAACAAAAGGAAGTCATGTTGTCCTTACCTATATCCTCATGTCTGTGATATCTGTTTATTATTTGAGCTAGAAAGTAGCTCCGAATATTTTTATTTTTATATATATATATATATATATATATATATATATATATATATATATAT